TTTTTTGTCTTTATTCAGAAAATTTGACTATAGAATTGGCTCAGATACATTCAGTGGACTATACCTGATCCTCAGGGTAATGCTTTTTATGTACTCATCACTGTGAAAGGCTTCTTATCCCACATATCAGAAGGATGTCCCACATCCTTCCCTCTTCCTAAGCAAGCAACATTAATTCATCCACATGTCCCATTGTTACTCTTTAAGTCTTTAGTGATTCACTCCTATCTATATTATTTCTTATTCTTGCCACTATTCCTAAGTCCTTTATCTACCTTATCCTAGTTGGCTTTCTGAGCAATTCTATCTTGCTTCTTCCCAGTCATATCTGATGCAAAGCACAATACAATGTTGTCTCTTCTCGAAACCCATGCACTCCAATAAAACTGGCAGGCTTGACAGTCTGTAAATGTGAAGTCCAATAAGACTAATAGTAGACATTTGTTCCTATTGGGTGCTTAAAATGTGGATTGAACATTTTAATTTTAGTCTTATTTTATCTTCATTAATTTGAAGTAAAAAAGATTTGGGTTTGGAGTTTAGGTTACAGAAAGATTTATCTGAAGAGTTAACAGTTAGCATTGTAGTGTGGTCTAGAAGTAGAGTTCTCCCATGGAGCTCAGTGTTGGTCTCCTCTTACAGTTTTCAGAGAAAGAATGGTAGGAAGGAGAATGGATTGTTTCCTTTTCTGGCTCTTGGTTGTTGTGAGGAATAACCACTCAATAGTCAGTTAAGGAATGATGGGTAAATTTAAACAACTTTCCTGGCTGTTTGTTACTGGAGGTCAGTAGACAGTGAAAATAAGAATATAGAGAAACAAATCACATTACTTAAGAAACCAAGTTACCTTAGCTTTAGGAATTGTCATATTCAAGCCAGAATGAAATAACTTTGCAAATGGCATGTCCCTATCTAACAAAACTTGAATAGAAATGTATAGCTGGGGACTACCACATGGTACAGTTCAGCTCCAAAATGGAAACCCTCTATAGATGGTCTTTCCGTGAGATGGACTACCATACTTTACTTGACCCTAAAACCCCGTATGTTGCTTTACTATAAAGCAATCATTTCATTAGTATACCTTACTCTGCTGAGAGTGGTTTCTTGGGAGGCAGGTATCTCATCCTGAAAATCAAAATAGTAACATTCACAGAAGTAAAAGTCAAGAACTTCCTATTTCCTCCTTATCTTTCATTCACAGAAATGTATCCCCCAATAATCCCACATTCTTGGAAAAATAGTTGGAAAAGCTTCCTCCTTTCATTCTATTTTGTCCTAGCTCTTCCTTGGAAATTGATTGCAGAATCATAGTGCTCTGTCCTCACTGGACCACAATATATGTATTGCCATGAAGACTTACTTTGACTAAACACTAGCAGCCAAGTTGTACATATGCATGGGGCTTACAGGAAATATTAGAGAGAAAGCCAAAATTTGAAGCTCCTAATAGTCTTCCACTTTCTGCTATGTCTGAATCTAATTTAGGAGATTAGCCAGAATCTTTTACATGAAGAGTATGTATCTCTTGGTATCTCTTGACACTTGATAACATCATTGGAGAGATAATTTGATCAAAACACAGAATTAACAATTTTAAGTGAGGAGGAAAAAATATAATTCTTCATTTAGTGGTCAACATCAATCTGCACTAATTCATTCACTAATACCATCACACACTGTAATTTTGGACTTATACATTGGCTTCCTTTAATATGGACTTGACCCTCATTGGTTTCTGATATCTTGACAGAGTGATCAAACTAGTACGAAGGAATGTAAGAGTGGGCTACTGAGGTATTTCACTAGGCAAAGACACTTGCAAACAAGCCTAGGGGCAGAATTTGATCCACAAGATTAATCTAGTGGATCTTATTCCTGTGGGCAATCTACTTCTTTCCCCACCCATTCCTCTCATTGTCTAGTGGGCCCATAAACAAAGTGGCCATAGTAATAAAAATGGAGGCTATGTATGGGCTCAACAACAGGGTCTTCTACTCACCAAGGATGACCTCGCTAAAACTGCTACTTTATGCCAGACTTCCAACATCCAAAACCAGCAATGAGATCCCAAAATAGTGGCATTTCTAAGAGTTGCCAGCCAGTGACTAGGTAGCAGGTTGACTACATTGTACTACTTGTATTATTGAAAAGACAGTGTTTTGTCCTTACTGAAATACTTATTCTGGTTATGGATTTTCCTTCATTTCACTTAATGATTCTTCTAAAGTTACCACTGCCATCCACAGACTTCATATCTGGTATATCATTGTTGTGGCATTCCACATAGAATTGCTTCTAACCAAGGACATTACTTCACAGTGGGCCCACGCCCAAGGAACTCACTGTTTTTACCATGTTTTCCACCATCCTAACACAGTTGGCTTGATAGAAGGATGGAAAGGAACTTCAAAGTATCAATTAGCTAATATTAGTCTGGAGTGTAGACAAACTTTCTCATTGGTACTTCCAGCTCTCAAATAATGACATTGAAAATTCTTATTAATTATGAAATCTCAGCCTTAGCTTAGGCTTGTTCCCAATGAGCTCTTATAACTTAAATTAACCCATTTCTATTAATCTCCATGCTGCCACTTGGCTTGTGGCTTTTTATCTCTCCTCTTGTATGACCTGCTTCCTCTGCAATCAGCTGGTGACTCTCTTGAATTTCCTAATACTTCTTCTCTTTGCCCAGAAGTCTTGCCTCTATACCTTCTTCCTAGGTATTGGCCATTCAGCTGTTTATTACACCAATAACAGCAATACATCTTCACAAAGTGTACAAATATCCCACCACAGTGGAGGGTTTGGATAAGAGTTCTCCAGAAGGTGGCACATGCTTTGAATATGCATCCAACTTCTATAACCAGGAGTTATGGGTCCAGAAATTAAGAGGTAGCAACAGAAACATTTCTATTTACTATCATTCTGAGTGATGCAGAAAAATTTTGCTTTGTGTTACTGCAACCTTGTGCTTTGTTGGTCTACAAGTTTTGGCTGGGGAGAGGGATACTTCTTCCAAAAGACACAACAAACCTTCTATTAAAGTGGAAGCTAAATCTTTCTCCTGGCCACTTTGGTCTTCTGATGCCCTTAGGTGAATAGACTTAGAAAGTACCAACAATGTTAAAAGAGTTGATTGATCCAGACTACCAGGAGGAAATTGGACTATTTCTACCCAATGTAGGTGAGGAGATTATAGATGAAATGTACATCCTTTAATGCATATCTTAGTATTAACATGTTCTGAAATCAAAGGCAATGGGAAGGAAATTAGAGCAAGCTAATCAAAGTAGTGTGAGAAATGACCCAGACACTTCTAAATTTTTTTGTGCATGCTCCCTACCATAAATAAATGTTAAAAGATATCATCATTTGTCATTTCATGGAAGACCAGTTAAAAGGCTGGCATTTATTTGTGTATTATTCTATGCTGTAAACTGATAGTTTGTTCTTTCTTTCCTCCATCTAATATACTTTGAATGTCTGTGCTTTGGCAAGAACTGCAGGTATATAACAAGGAAGTAGTATCCAAAAAAAACCCCTCAAAATCATGAAGTACTCAATTTCTGCTTTTATGTAGTGATATCCCAAAGGGAAGAACAGCCATTCATAATAGGTCATGCAAACAAATAAATGCATATCTGCATGATGATTTTAAAGGAATTAAATTAAATACATAGTTGAAAATTATGTGGCAGAGACTGATATTAAATATGCTTAGGGAGTAACTAGGACTAGAAGAACTTTAATCAGATAGGTTAAAAAAGTACAATGTTCTGTGGGTATGGAAGGCTCTTAGTAAAGGAAGAATTACACACATTGATCCTAAGGTAGATACAACTAAGATCCACTGAGAACAAGGAGGAGAGATACAGGACTAGACTCAACTTGAAATACTTGCATCAAGTAATATGATTCATATTTATTTCCTTTTATTGAAACAACTTCTCATACATATAATACTTACTATTAAAAAACTTTTCCTTCAATAACTATTTTAGAGAGTCAGTTTTTAGAGGGTCACCTGGTATTTGGCATGCATTCCATTTTAATAATAATTATAACTCATATGATGTTTTAAAATTGTGTTTATACACCTATTATTTTAAATTGCATGTTGCCTTTAAGTAATGTTTGTTCTTTTGAAACTAGGACACTTTAAATTCACTATATTTTATGAGATCACTGTTGTGTCTGGAAATGCAAAAGACTTGCATAAATTCAAGCCAGAGAAAATCCCAGCATGGAGAACAGAAATTGGACACAAAGTCCCACCCAGAACTAAGAATCTTTTTTCTATTGGTAGCTGCTGGGAGAGATAAAATATGTTTCCTTCAATGGAATGACATCCCTTATATCAAGCATACCCACTGGGAAGCCTCATGCTCAGGAATAGTTGGCCAACATAAAATGAATTCCTTGGTTTTTTTTTTTTGAGAGTTTCTCTTTTGTGTGTGTTTTCTTTGCTTACTTATTATCTATTATCTATCTATCTATCATCTATGTATTTATTGTGTGTATTGTTTTAAGAAAGAGAAAAATATGGGGTTGGGAAGGTAGGAAGGGGTGTGTGTGTGTGTGTGTGTGTGTGTGTGTGTGTGTGTGTGTATGTGTGTGTGCCTGGTGTCTGCAGAATCCAGAGGAGTCCCTGGAAGCCCTGGGATGTCAGTTATGAGCTGCCAAACCTAAGTCTTCTGTAAGACCATCAGATGCTCTTAACCCTGATTCACCTCTTCAACTCCCATAACATTTTAAACATAATCAACTTTGAAAAAAATTAGGAAAATTTAACAGCACAGAACTCTGTTTTTCCCTCAAAAAAAATGTCTCTTTTGCCCTATCAATTTCATGTAGTTTATTATTTTGATATGGTAAAAGTAAATTTTTACTTGATGTTTTATGTATAACTGAGTCAGAATGAATACTAAGAATTTTCAAAAATCTCAAAATACTTATTGAACTTTGAATTTGGAAGAAAATTGTCAGCAAAACACATGTGAAATTTCAATTTTTAAAGAACATTAGTTATATTAGAAGTCGAAATAATGAATATTTATTACAAACATTTGAGGTTGTAGTAAATCACAAAACTGGGCAATTGTTTTGAATTAGTTGAAGAAATGATGACCTCTACCACAAAAGTATCTGAACCGAGTTGTTATCCCTGTGTGAAGAACTAAAAAGCTGAAAAATGTTACCTCAGAATGAATACACTAGCATGTGATCAGTGAGACCCTGGAACCTGCATGAAGGCTAACACTTTGATTGGTGGAAATGTAAAATTCACTTTTTCCTTGGTGATCCCCAGCTCTGTCATTAGTTAAGGGAGTCAACAATATGCATCTCAAATGTAAACATGAAAATTCCCTCTGCAGAATGCCTTCTTCATTAAGCTTTTGTTACCACATTACTCCAATTTTGTCAATAGTAAGTATGAGAATGGTAAAATTGTTTTTAAATAGTGTCTTTACTTCTGTAGTACATTAACAACAAGGTAAGTCTAAATGAAAACCACTCTGAGTAACATATGAGAATAAATATTGAAATAGTAAATAAAATACTAATAATGGAATTTTATACATCAGCATTACTTATGATTATTGTATAAGCATAATATGTCATTTTCTATATTGAAAATGCACAAATTACAAAATGACTCTATGGTGATATTTTATTTGTGCTGAAATGTGATTTTATTTGTATGTTAACAAATAAAGTTACCTGGGAATCAGAACTAAAAGCAAGCCATTTAGCAGAAGTCCAGCGGTGGTGGCACACACCCTTAATCCGATCACATGGCAGGCAGAGTCTCTGTGTGGTCAAGGCCAAGGCCAAGCGGTGACCTGAACCTTTAATCCCAGTGCCAACCATAGAGACTGGAGGTCTGTATAGACAGGCCGTGATGAGGAAATCATGTGGTTGGGTTTAGAACCAATGAGAAGGTTGAACAGACAGGCAATAAAAAGACAGGACATAGGAGAAGGTCTCTCCCCAAAGGGAAGGACGGCAGTGAGTGGTAAGCTAAAGGCTATTCACTAGTGCTCTGATCTCTTGGGCTTTTAACTCTGTATTTGGCTCTGTGTTTCTTATTTAATAAGACCGTTTAGAATTTTGTCTACATGATTCAATCTATAGAATAGATATCATTTGCCATTTTTAAATGATCACTATGATATAATACTTACAAAAATAAGGAGCCTTGCTTCTTAATCCCCTTCTTGTAGGAATGTTTTCTTCTTGCAATGTGATAGCAGAAATGCCTACCAATAAGATGGTCTCAGGTTGATGCCAGTTACAAAAATGTCCCCCTTTGTAGATGGTACAAATAGCATATACTTTTCCATTTTTACTTTTTGTTGTGATTCATGTTGTTGTTTTGTTTTATTGTTTTTCCTCAAGTGAATTTTGTATTATATTGTCACTGTGAATGTAGGTCATGTTCTACAATCTTAGGTTATATGGAATATGTATATGATCACTTTTTATTTTAGAAAATAAAACTTTTTTATCAGAATAAAGATCCTATGCAAAAGGCTATAAATTTAAAATCTTAGGAAAGATCAAGTAGGACAATCAGATTTTACTATATTCAAAGGACTTTTATTTTCTGAAAAAATATAAAATTTAATATCTTACACTACAAAAACATGTACACAAACTGAAAGCACATAGAGATGCAGATGGGAACCAATACGAAAGTGCTCATCCTTCCTTGAATTCACTCTGCGGCAGAGACACAAGACATCGTGATGCCTACCAAAGAATTGTATAGGCTACATAAATGTCTCTGATCTTCTGGAAACCAAGAGATTTTTATAAACATTAACAAAGGACAGAGTCTGGCTTTAGTCTCAGACAATTACAAATGCATTATATATATAATATATTCTTTTAAATAATTAATTGCAAAACTACAGTAGTCTAAATATTCACATACAGTCGACCACTCAAACTTCAGTGAATATAGCACCCAGCTTGAAAAGATGGGATATTGTTTTTTGCCAACTTTACTTTTTTCCAATAGCATTGAGAAAAGGAACTTGAGTCTGGTTATAAACAGACATTCTTTTTTAAAATAAATAGCAGCTTTTTCTAAGTGACAATTACGTGGTCATTCTGAATAAGAACATTCAACCATTGATGTATGAAAAGACTCATAAATTAACAAGAAATGAGAAGAAAGTTCTTATCTATTTCTTTCCTGATACATTGCTATATAATTAACAGCATAATAGAGGAAAAATATTCAATGTAACCAGCTGTGCTATAGCATTGAAAAACTGATGACTTATTCGAGCTATCAAATTTCAAATAAAGCTACCATTATGATTCTGTTCATTCGCTCATTATTATCACCATTGCCTTCTTATTGTCCCTACTTCTTATTTACATTGAGGTTAAACATCTGGCAATGTTCAAACAAAGACTATTTATTATCACATTTAATTTTCCCTCCTAATTTTGTGAAAGAACAGAATGAAAAAGAGATATTTTCTACTATGCACCATCATATACTACTACGTCTCTAACATCTGACTCTTTTTGCCATCTAATGTACCATTACAGCCAAAACACCTTCCAGAGAAGAACAGTTCTCATTGTGCTTCTGAAAACCCACTTCAATACACATACAAATATCTTCTTTACAGCCTTTTGCTTCCACATAGAATCCAAATATTAAACATGCAAATGCATAAGTTTTCAATGGATAGTAACAGTTCCACTTTAACATGAAATGTGAAAGTTTTATCTCTTTTGTTACATGGTGGTTAGAATCGTTTTATAAACAGAGCTAAGGGTGTTTAGCATTATTTGTGACAATTCCAAAATGAATAATTCTAGACACATTTAAACTTTAATAAAATATTTCTATGTAAATTGTACAATGATTGTATTACTTTAGAACACCAGGTTGCTCAATAAAATACAGGGATTAAAAAACATGCACATTACAGATTTTAAATGGTGAAAATCAGTATCTTTACATTTTACATATAATCAGTACATTTCAGAGATAGTGATTTTTTTGTCAGAGTACATGCTAGTGAATGGCATGATTAGATATAAATCATGATTGATAAACATAGTAACCAAATGACTTCAAATAGAACCAGTCAGTTCAGAGCAATTTCCTGTTGTACCACCTTACAAAACAGTTACAAATCATTTTACAAATCAGTTACAGGTGTGAGTTTATGGAATCTGTACTTTATTTTCTGGGAGTTGGTGAGTAAGGAAATGAATCCACAGGAAAAGAATTCACACCATCAGGATTTGCCAAGTCTAGTGCTGAGTGGCAGACTCACTACATTTCACGAGAGCAGACTCCTCCCTCTATTCCACTTCTCACATTTATAGATGAGATTGGCACTTTTCAATTGGTGACATATCCAAGGGTGAACAAATATTTTAGAAAGGCGTTCTTTCCTCTTTAGCGGGGCAGAGCTTGTATAATTTAAAAGTCTATTTCTGCTAAAATCATATTGACATTCTTTAGAAACTCTCCACCAAATTGAGATATGGATGAAAGCTGTGTGGCCATTAAGCATTCCTTCTGAATTACTTTCCCAATGTAATACTTGAATAGCAAAGGAAAAATAAATTTGATTCAAATGAATTTATATTCTGTTGTGACAAAGCTGAAATCATTACTCCAACAGCCAGCCACTTATGCGTAAGTGACCCACCTTAATCTCTGAACACACAGAATTGAAAAACAATTTAGAATGTATTTTTTATGTCCCTATAGTTGTGGCTTATACAAGCTCTAAATTGTGAATTTGTAAACATTTTTGTTATGAAGTTCTCAAAATTACTTTATCACTAAGATTCAAATAATTTTTCAAAATTCAGTAGAGTATAATAAAATCAATCTTTTTGATAGGAATGAGTTTTAATAATTTTGTGTATTTTAAATGTATACATGCGTCTTTCTTAATGATGATGTCTATCTGTGATGTTCAATGTGACAATATTAAACTACTTCTTTCAATTCTGAAAATTTCACTAAACTAATAGAGATTTCCTGAATACAGTGTGGATCTACAGTGGTTCATGCCCCATGTAGTTGTTTTGATCTTTCCTTATTCATTAGCAAAGAGCTATTTCATTCTTTTAAAAAGGATGAGAAAGAAAGAATGAAAGAAAGGAGGAAGGAAGGAAACATGGAAGGGAGGAAAGGAAGGAGGGAGGGAGGAAGGGACAGAGGGAGGAAGGGAGGGATGGAGGGAGGGAGGAAGAGGACCTCTCCCTAGCTGCTTTTCTTACATGGGTTATATGCTTCCAAGCACAAGGACCACCACTCACAAAACACTGGTATCTCCTCTTCAGATCTTACCTCTCTCATATGCTTTTACCAAGGTAGCCCTGAAGTCCTGATTTAAGTTATCTGCTCCTCAAATATCACACACCATTCTCCTGATTTTATTAAGTGTAACAACATAAATATTGTTTATGTCAATATGACGCTCACTTTTTCAAACATTTCAGCAAACTGCGTGAACTTTACCCCAAATGAGAACCCTTTGCTGGTGTAGTGTATAGAATACACTGAAGGACTATCATATATTACTTAGCAAGTTTAATTTTTAAATATTTTACTTTGGTTCTTCAAAGTATTTTCAATATTATGTAATGGAGGACAAAATGTAATTAAAAATTAACAAGTTATTATTAATAAAACTTAAAATTCTGAGTAAAAAAACACTTTTTTTTTTCATTTTTTACTGCTGACTTAATATCAAACTTTTGTAAATGAGTCACAATGGGAGTGATTACAATGATGAGCACAAAGGGAGATGCTGAGTGCCCCGTGTCTGGACAGTAACAGGAGCCAGCACACTCCAGTCTCTCTACATCCACATAAATGTGCCCTTTGTGTCAACTTTGTTTGAGAAAATATTTTCTGTAACTTAGAAAGACGGAATTTCAGAGAAGGGTGTGAGATTAATGGCTAGTGCTTCTTTGTCAGAGATAGTAGAAATTGTTTGTAAAAATCCAAAAGGGGGCCGGGCGGTGGTGGCGCACACCTTTAATCCCAGCACTCGGGAGGCAGAGGCAAGCGGATCTCTGTGAGTTCGAGGCCAGCCTGGGCTACCAAGTGAGTTCCAGGAAAGGCGCAAAGCTACACAGAGAAACCCTGTCTCAAAAAACCAAAAAAAAAAAAAAAAATCCAAAAGGGAATTCGTCTTAGAGACATTAGCTGTTTACATAAAATAATTAGTTGCTTTCAAAATGAGAGAAAAAGACATCAACTTGGGCTGGATTTTTTTTTTTCTACTGTTTCCTATTTCTCTTATTCATTACAGCCTGGAACACCCTTTCCTGTATGCTGCCAAAATTAAAACACCATCAAAAAGGCAAGCAGAACAATATTGTATACACATTCAAACACACACACACACACACACACACACACACACACACACACACACACACATACAAGTCCAAGGTTAGTCAGTTCCTGGGCATATTGCAAACTATACAGTATATACACATTTATTACCTAATAGTCTCCAGAAAAAGCAACTACAAGTAAATTATGTAACACAGAAAAATAAATATACACCCTGTATTGAACTTTTCCTTGACCAAGCAACATGTTTATATATACTATTTTCTATAACTTAACAACTGTAATTGCATTTTAAATTACACACTGTTTTTAAGGAATAATCTAATCATATTGCTCTTCAATACACTTATTTAGACAATAAGACTTGAAGTAAACGTCAGTGAAATGCAGCTTTTCTTAGCCCACACATGGCTTTACAACTTTTCCTTTCAAGTAGATCCCTGGAAGTTTTGAAAGGGGCTGCCTTAACAGTCTATAAAGGTGCTGTATCTTGATATATTTCATGTACAAAATTCTGTGGAAATAATGGGGGAGGATTTAGTTACTACTTTATTATAGGATGCTTATGCCCATTTTGTTTTCACTCTATGTAGGTTACATTTGTTTCATGAAAAATGAAGAACTAAGAGGAAGATATGGAGATTTTAGGAAAATATTGATTACAAGTTCAACGACTGAGACAAATGCCTCCAGAGGTTTAGAAACCACTCTTTTCCCTTTTCCCTTATAATTGTTAAAACAAATCTCAGGGCTGTTTACAAAGTGCAGAGTCGTTCGCTTGAGGAAGTGACCCATGCGGAGGTCACACTGGCACCATCCCATTTCCCAGCTGCACCTTCATCTCTTGAAGGCTGCTCATGATCTTCTTCTGGTGACCGACCAGAGTCACTCCCAGGCGCCTCAAATCCCTGCATGAAGAAAGCACACATTGGATGTATGTATTGAGTCAGTTTGGAGCACACCGCAATAGTTCACGTTGGCAAAAAAAATGTTTTGCAGGAATTAGTCACAAAACAGTGACAATTTTAGATATTCACAGTCCAGTGTTCAGGTTCTAAAACTTAAAAAAAAAAAACCTATTTGCAGTCAAAGAAAATGTACACGTTTATTTCTGTGGATGAATATCATCATTTAAATGGTACATAGTGGTGAAAAATTAATGTTTATATCTTACCAATAAATTTTAAACTCAATGGGTACAGTTTAATTGAACAATATTGACAATGTGATCCTAAAACAACATCAAATATTATTTTTGCTAAAAGAAATATAAAATGTAATTTAAAGTTTTACACCTTGTCAGTTGAAGACTGAACTCTTCAAGAGACTCATTCATTCAGTGTAGCCATCATACACGACAGATAGCCTTACACAATAATCATTACAACAGTGCTTTTATAACAAAGTTTTATGTCTTTTTTTTTTTAATTTTGGATTCAAAGCGCCAGAGTTTCAACTTTTACCAAATCAAGCATCAGCTTCTGTTTTCTTTTGACATTTAGGGAATTCTGAAGACTATGCACTTTCAAAATGGCTTTCATTCTAGATTCTTTTCCTGTGTTGCAAAAATAATCTTTTTCTAATTTTTTATTTATTTTACATATCAACCACAGTTTGATATATAAACTCCCTCCTCTTTTCCCATTCCTTCCCCCGACTTCTAGTCTACCCCTCCTTATCCATTCTTCCTCTGGCAAAAATAATCACATTACTCAAAAAAAAAATCTTGAAGTGTTTATATTTTAAACTAATAATATCTTATAAAACTCCCAAAACAAGGATATTCATTTTAAATGCTATTTCATAGACTTTAAAGGAAATTATTCCTCAAAAGGGTGTTTGGACAATATAATCAATGCACGTATTTGGAAAATTATATGAACTAATTCTAAGAAAAATTAACACTTATAACTCATAATTCTAAGTGACAAATATGTCTAACATTTTAGAATTATTTAGGAAATCACCTTGCTAAAGACATTAGCTTAATAATTTTTATTATTTTTGTATTCATTGTTAATTTTAATTTTCTTACCTATCAAATAGAATTAAAGACAATGACAAGACCATAATAGGTAAAATATAGCAGTTTCAGGTAACACAAAGATATACAAAGATATCTCTTAGCAAGAAGACTGAGCACCTTGGCTTCAACTTTGTCAGCCTTGGAAAAAATTATCTACTAAGGTAATTTCATATTTCTTTTCTTTTTTATGGTTTTTGGATTTCTTATGAATTTTAGAAAATGAGAAGCAACTTAAATACTACTGATACTTATGACAGTAATATATTTCTTTCTTACAATATAAATATTAAACATTAATTACAAGATCTCAGTGAACAGTATAAAAATAATAATAGCTGATGTGGTTTGCAAGAGAATCATCAGCAAAACATTCAATAAAAATCCACTTGGAAACAAAGTCACCATTGTTATATCACAGTAATAGATAATTGAAGATTAAAGTCCAAATAAAAATACTTTAGTTGAATTTAGTTGTGTTTCTTTCCAATTAAATTCACATTCACAGGCTTGCCATTGACAAGGTGAGTCAATGCCATTACAGGGCTACTCTGTTCACTGTAGGTTACTTAACAGTCTTTCTGGCTTCTGCTGAATGAATACTAGACTACGAGGAGAGACTCCTCATTATTGAGGGGACAAAATTCTTTAGACAGTGATGAATTTCTAATGGAAACACTCTCCATATTGAAAACCACATCATTTAACATAAGAACAACCAGTGATACCTAATAATCATCCAGTTTCTCAGTATTAGAAAAGTATATAATGGCAACACAGAATTTAAAAATAATTTTACTTTATGGATAAAGAGACACAGATTTGGGAAATTTAAATCATTCATCTGTAGAACACATCAGTAGGCAACTGGGGTAGGACTAAAACTAGGTACCAAACTTTGAAATCCACACTTTAATTTCTCATCACTTATTGGTGTGATTTTGAAAAACATTTCACATTAAATGTAAAAAAAATATTTCTGGTTAAAAAAAAAGGAAACTCTGAACACATAATTGAATATAGAAGATCCCTAAAGGACTGAACACGCTTTGCTGTTGTTTTGACTAAAGTTGTATAAGGAATCTACATTTCAACATAATTTCCATTGTTGGGCAATTCTGATCATTCTCTATATTTTATGAAAAATTGTGTAAAGTGAACCTTTATGGGTGTTTATCAGTAAAGTATAGATCAGAGCCAGAACCAAAAACACTAAATTTTGAGCTTAGAAATAATCAATTCCTAGTAAAAATAATTAAATTGAGACTAGAAATTATATTTTAAAATGAATGTTTGTCATACATATTGCAAAATGCTAAGTGATGCATCTATGTCCTGAGGACTACATCTTTATTTAAGAAACATATTTATTCAAGTTACATAATTCATAATTACTCATGTAGTCAGTGGAAACAACTTTTAAAGAATAACTATTACATTTTACTCTTAATGACTTAAAACCCAAAATGTATTGGTTTTCCAACTCAAATGATGTGGAATTTTCACATGTAACAGCACTTTAATTTGAAGGATGTGCCTGTGTACATATGTTAGTTCTGGCTCTTGGCTAGAATGACATTGAATCATTTTGACTTATTTTTTTTACATGTGTAGCTTTGCTAATGCTGTTGCAATTATAATTTATTTCTCCAAAAACTAGCAGATCACAAAATAATCTAAAATGTTGATGGCATGAGTATGCTACACTAAAAAAAGGCATGTTTTAAAGAATTTCATTGCGTTACTGAATACGGGTACATACTTTTTGTTTATGTTATGCAATCATTTTAAATATTTTTATAAATAATGGACATCTTTTATTTGTGCTATTTCTTTAATCTGATATGTTAGCTTAGGACTTATGAAAGTGATAAATAGGGAAAACATACCAGTATAATTATGTGCTTGTAATAGAGATATTCCTAATATCCTTTTCAGTGGAAAAGAGTGAGAAGTATTTATGCAACTTAAACCAATCTCAGATAACGCCTTAGTGAATTAAGTTGGCACTATAGAAAATTATCTGAAGCTTGAATATCTTTCTTCCAATACTGTCAAATGTATTAGAATGTAGCAAGTAGTTTCATCTCACACATTTCACTATTTCCAACAGTTTCTTTTTTGTTTGTTTTCCTTTGTGAATATTTTTATGTATATGTGCCTGTATGTGTGCATGTGGCATATGCATGCGTGAGCTCAACTGTGTAGACATATGTGGATGCCGGAGGCTAACATCTGGATAGCTTCCTAAATTGCTTCTCTAACTTATTTACATTCATTTATTCATTCATTTATTGAAAGAGGGTCCGTCACTGAACCTACAGTTTGTTGATGCCAATAGTCTGACCAGTGAGTACCCTGGGACTGGCCTGTCTCTGGCCTCCAGAAATAGCTTTAAAAGAGCGTTCTGCCATACCTGGCTTTTATATGGGTGCTTGGTAACTAAATTCATGATAGCTCAGAAAGTGCTTTACCCCATAAGCCATCTCCCAGTCATAACAGTTTTTATTTTATTGTCACCCACATATATAAAGTGGGCAGATTTGTAATAATAGTAACATTGTGTGTGACAATGAAGTGACTCCATTCCTGTACAGGGACTTTACAGGGACTTTGGGAAGGAAACATTTTCTGATGGTTAAGGATACACCATTTTTTTTTCCTATTTCACTGTGCATCTAAGACATGTCAGGTCTAGACAGTTTTAGATGCATCCCTTTATACATTACATTAATTGCATTGTGACCACTTGGAATCTGAACAATACTTAAGGCTGTTTCTAGCTCTGATACAGCACCCTTAAGCATAGACTTACGTAGCCAAATATGACGAGAAAAGGACATAGAAGACTGCATTATGTTGGCAAGACTTGACATGTTTTAGAAGATCTGTAAATGTAACCTGGTACCATTGCTGGAATTACATTTCAACATCTTTAAACATTATTTCATGATATGAAATAATGAAAAACTCTCTTAATATCTGGTGATGCTGAAGTAGTAGAATAAGCTAAAAAATAGAAAGTGCCTGATATATATGGAGCCATCCTATTGATTACTCAGAATACAATTCGTGTGTGTGTGTGTGTGTGTGTGTGTGTGTGTGTGTGTGTGAGAGAGAGAGAGAGAGAGAGAGAGAGAGAGAGAGAGAGAGAGAGAGAGAGAGAGAGAGATTGCTGATTCTCTGTTGTGCTTTATATACCTTTTAACCCTATTAATGGAATTAAAATCCATCACCACTAGCTAGATAGTAGCAGGGATACGAGAGACTAATGAATATTCACTCAACCTCACAAAATTTTGGTTTTTATCAGTTTTATAATGTAGCTATGCTGTCAGTTTTTCCTGGCTTATTTTAAAACTTATTAGGTACTGTGCAAGGTAAATGTATTTATCAAGAAAATATTCAGTCATTTTGTATTGATGAGACCTTGTTAAACACACACACACACACACACACACACACACACACACACACACACACACACATTCAGAGTATTAGCTTAACTGCACTGAGCACAGAGAACAGCAAGCTCTCCTATGCATGCTTTGAGAGCATACTAAATTATGTGTAATGACTTTCTTCACAGGTTAATGAAGTTTTTTGAGTTAGTCTGCACAAATTTAGGTTCCAGATTTAGAAAACTGTTGTTTTAGTATCATGAGAGACCATTCTTATAACTGTTCCAGGAACCTCTTCAGCTTACTGCAAATTGGTACAAAATTTAAATTCACTGGATTTTGCTCATTTTCTAAATCACCAAGGTTTGACAGCACAGGCCTGAAAAGAAATCTACAAAGCAGCTTTGATTAGGCCCTCACTTGAAATCTTTGGCTTCAATTTACCACTTGCCTCCAGCTCACAATTTTCCCTGTCAACAGTAACTCACAGCACTTGTACATGATAGTAGAGTCTTGCCATTTCTCCTACAACAGTTATTCAAATATGATTACTGTATACAGACAGAATAGCATGGTTTGGGAAAAGAAGACAGGCAGCAAGCAGAAGCATCTAAAGTTAAAAGCTACTCTTATTGGATATGCCTTACTTCAAGACACACAGTTGTTCATTTTTTTCCCTCATACATGTACGGGCAAATAGTTGAAAAACAAAGTGATCCTTATTAAAGTAGTTTTTAACCAATGGTTATAATTAGAAAAACTGTTTTCCACACTTGTATTTCTAAATTTAATAAACACTCAAATTTCTCAAGCAGTAAAACACCCTTTTTATGTATATATAGTATTTGTACATTTGCTTTCTTTTGTTGATTTAACATTTTTTAGCTTTGAATGTCAGTCCCTTATTGGTTTCTAGGAATAACATTTTATTATATCTTTCATAGGATTCATATAATTAACATTTAGATATTGGGTAATAACTAGGTATGCAAGGGTATCATCAGGGTGTTCCAAGAGCATGTCCCTGAGATGTGTGGCAACCCCGTTATTGGGAGGTGTTATTTTTCAGCAAAAAACAGCTTTATTTTTCTCTTTATTAAGGTAAAAAACTGAACAAATTACTTTTTTAAATTCTTGTCCAAAGAAGCAACTGATGATTCCTTAATATGTGTTAAATTTAAAATAATACTTTGATAAATAAAACCTACCAATTTGAAACACTATGGTCAGAAGGAGTCATAATAAATGACAGAAGTTGATCCTAATAATGTTAGGCTCTCCAAAAAATCAACTTCTTTGGATATAGAGTCAGCATGCCCAATTCCCAGTAAGGATTATGGTAATGACTATGGATCCCAAGAATTTGAAACAATTTACATAAGAAAACATTCTTTGACTTTACTCTTTTGTTTATAGTAAATGAGTTGAAAGGTAATTTGAAAGAGGCAATTTAACAAAGAAACAATTATAAGACAATAGAAGAGACTCTTAGGTCTTGAGAAAGTACACACACTCTGAAGAGCATTTAGGAGGTTACAGAAATAAATAGGAAAGAATTTTAAGAAATAAGAAAAAGTGAAACCATGACAAAATAATATTAAACACATTTCTACTATCGAGGCCCCCAAGAAATAAAATAATTCAGAGGAAGATAACATTGACACCAAAATAAACTTAAAAAAGAAAAAGAAAACAGGTTATTTTTTTGTAACAATAATTGTGTGTGAAGGAATAAACAAAACTGTAACAGATCTAACTAAATACATGATCATATATTATCTTAATAAAAACAAAGACATTGTTTAATGCAAATAATTTTATTATATATTTACAAGTAATCCGACATTGGGTAGAAGAAATACCTACAGTATCATTTTAATATAAAATGACAAATGACTTTAATAAATTAAAATGACCATTTTTACTGAAAAATTAAATCGTAATTATGTAAAAATAGTTTTAAATCATCAGGAATATTTTTTAGTATACTGTTTAATCATAGCACAGATGAGTTGCTTGAGCATCAAAGAAATAATAGGCAAAACATTCATGTCTTCGAGATGTGATTTACTATTAACTGTGAGAATGGGATTAAGTAAACTAAGAAAGCAAGCCAAGTGGTTGTGATTTTATGTATGTTTAGTTATCAGTGTTAAGGAAGACAGTGTGGCAACTGTGATATTAATCCATAAGAAGTAATGGTACCCTGTTACCTTTTGTAGGGATGAGCAATGAATTCAATGACTCAAGAATGCCAGAATGATAGATAGGAATGTCTAGAGAACTGCTCAGTATTGATATTACATGAAGGGATGAAGTTCAGATAGTGGTTTAGTAACTTAGAGCATCCTAACATTTTAAAAGCCTTATAACAATATTTTAACCTTTAAATTTGCAGGTCATTGGAAGTCAGTTATCATGATTTTACAGGTTAAAACATTATTAATTTAGATGTAATCTAGATGGAACCACAATAGGACAATTATTTTTCACAAATAACGATTAGGCTCAAATAATTACACATAAAGAGTATATAATAAAGTACAAACGACTTACAACCTTAAAGAATTTAATATTTAGCTCTAGTAATTTTTATTTCATAGGATTTGATAAATTGTCTCTTAAACGTGCAAACAGAAAAGGGCACAATTGGTTCCACTGAGATTGTACCGAATGACAGCACACCAGAGGCAGGCTCTAACATAGTCTCATATTTCAAGAATCTAAGTTGCACCATGTAGATGTTAAATGAGATTCCTGCCTGAGAAACTTGGTTTAAACTGTCACATGGGTATTCACTGTAGAGAGCTGTCATTTTGGAAAATGTTTTTTCAGTTTTTGTTTTTGTTTTTTCTTTTTTCCTTTGTATTTTGTTATACAAGACTAACCATACCAATTGTGCTTACAGTTTGTTTTGTTTTATATTTACATTCATATAATGTAAGTACCAGTATAAAAACGCATCAAGAAAACATCTTTTTCCACAACACAAAGTACCAGTCCTTTGCCAAGTAGCTGTAATTCCAGTTATCCAAATGCTCAAATGCTGTTTGTTTGATGCACAAAAAGCAAAGGTATTGGTCACAAGAAGCATGAACCATGCAGCTGTTAACAATACAGGCTAAAAAAAAGATGAGGCTTCTTTGAAATCTGCCACATATGGACACAGATTAATTGCTTCCCCTTGATTGCATCCACTCTGGTGTCTGAATACACTTTTCTTGCCCCAAAAATTATGTAAAAATGATCAGAAAAGTTACTCACTCCAAGGTCACCTGAGCCACAGCATCCATTGAACTGTATCCATTTTCCATGAAAATCTCTGTGTACCTTCCCATCTTGATTGCTTCCAGCCATTCACCTACTGATCTGTAGGCCCCGGACCCCAGAGAACCATGTTCAGCCAACAAAGTAGATACTCTAAAACATATAAAACATAAACATTAGAAGTAACAAACTGATGTTTTTTGATTTGTAATTATAACGTTAAATTAATTTATAGGCTTATGTATTCACTTGCATAATAAACAATTTGAAATACAAGTGGGAAAAAACAAAAATAAGCTTTAGGATTTTACTGTGTACTATGAATATGGGCTAATAATAGAAAAATTAGTGATTTTTTGTGAGAGAAGATAATAGTTTAAGTTTTCATTGTTCATTTTTCATGACATTAAATTATATTCACTTAGTAAAGTTTTAATCTCCATCTAAGATTTCATACATTTGCTTTGAGTTTCCATGTTTCTCAGACAAATATCAACCTATATGGGTAGAAAAAAAAATCCTAATTTTCTCTACCAATTTGTCAAGTGTTTATGATTACAGTATTTGATACAATGGTCCAATGCTTCCTCGTTCTCATTTTCTCTCAGTCTATCATAGTACATATTATCTATACAACTTAAGCGAAATTTTATATTTCACCAGTTCTATTCCACTTACCACCAATTTAATTAAAGAAACCTTTGTGATAAATCCCTTTTGCTAAGGTACCATGCACTCTGACACAGAACCTGAAGGGTCTATTCATGATCTGACCTGAAAGTCTCACTGTACCAGAAGTCAGGCAAGCATCCAAGAGAAGGAAGCAATCAGTAATCCTAACATGTTATGATGCCAGTGAATTACAACTATGTCCAGCATTGCACAATGGCACTCACTAAAGGTACAGTCATGGTATTAATATCATGGTGATAATCAACAGCTCTCTAATTGAATTTAAGGCTGTTCAACAAAAGGGAAATCATCCCTGGTATGGGAAGCCTACCTAATTACTCACAGTTAATGAGTTCATGGATCTTAGAGAAGAACTAACAAAAACTACTTTACTAAATCAACATAATTCCTAACTGCATTCTCAATATTTAAACTTATACCCATAGAAAAGTGTGGGTCTCTCCCTTCATCAAAGAAACAGAGAGCGTTAGAGAATGCACAACTGATCAAAAAGCAGAGAACAAGCAATCATATGGTCCCAAATGATACATCTTCAACACAACTGCTGCATCTAAAGTTCCAAGGGACATTTCAGAAGAGCAGACTCTTAGAAGGCTCTTCTAAGAGCCAGGCCATAGAGAAGTCTTCTGTGAGATTGTGTCTCTTAGAAATGTCAGGAAAGCTATACCCATTGACTCTCAACAACATAGTAGTCTAACCAGACCTGGAAAAGGATGACACCAATATACATTCTAACATGGAGGGGGGCGCGGAATCTCACAGGGCCTCAACCCTAGAGAAGGAATTACAGGCAACTGAGGGATACTGAGAATGAAAGAAATAGTTTTTTTCTAAGGGAGAGTATCAGAACTGGTTATCCAATCATATACATACAAGTGTGTTTGTATGTGTGTGTGTGTGTATGTGTGTGTGTGTGTGTGTGTGTGTGTGTGTGTGTGTGTGTGTGTGTCAATTAGAGAAACCAAGGCAGTGAGTTGAAGAATTTGAGAAAGAGCCAGGGAAGTACATGAGAAGAGTTGGAAGAGGAAAGAGAAAGGAGAAAATGATGTAGTTGTATTTTAAGTTCAAAAATGTAAATTAATATAAAAGACCTCTTCATGTCTCTCCTGCACAGACACTATAGTATCTGGCTTATCTGGAATTCTCTTCTCACTCTCCAGCACAGAAAAAAAACACAAGTTGTTAGGATGATTTTACTTGTCTCTCTCTTATCCTCCAGTGTGTTAGTTCCATAAAGAAGAATATCAAGACCTGCTGAATTAAGCCTGGTGTCTTCAGCTCTCACCTCACAGCATAACGCAGACTGGAATGGTGAATATTCATTGAAGGATATAGTATAATTAATCAACAGTTTATCAGAATTATTAACTATAGAAATAAAGAAAGTAACAGGTATACAGTAGAATGAATATTAAATTATGGAATCATCACAATTTTATAAATAGTCGTCTAAAGAATATTACCATGGGGAGAGTCCAGTAGAGTTTAGCAAACAAGATCATTAATGAAGAACATTTAAGGTCCTAAGAAATATTCAAATATTATTTATATAGTTCCTGAAGTGTTCAAATCTTGTGACATAAGTCAGAGTCGACAAGAGCCATGAGGAAACTCCTTGCAGAATTAAGGTTTGTATGTGATTGTTGAATTAAGGATGGGTAGTGAATGGTACAGTCTGAATGGTTAATCTATGCACAAGGGTAATGTGCTGAATTCTATAGGCCATATATAAGAAATTCCTGTATACCCTATATAAGAAAATAAGGAAGATGTTCAAGAAAAATCAGTATGATTTAGAACACTAGGAACTTTTTTTATTATCACCTTTCCTTAGATCCATTTGTGAGAATAACCACAATATCATTCAAATCATTCCATATCATTCAAAGAGGTAGACTAGAGAAAGGCTTAATATTTTACATAACCATAGGAAATTTAGATGTGGATATTTAAGGAAAAAAACATATGGAATAATTTCTAAGAAGATGCAGTCTCCAGCTGTTATCATAGAAAGTTCAAAATATCTCAACAGATTTTGAGGGCTTATTTCCAAATTATATTAAAATGACTTAGTAAACAAGTGTTGTATCAAGATCATAGAATTTATGCAACTTCATCATGACCAAATGGCTTCATTTAGCTCGTGTTAATAAGCAGCCAATTCAGCTATTAGCATAATTTCCTTTCTTGTAAAAAACAGACAATGGCATTAAATAACAATCTACTAAATTTTCTAATTTGGAACCAACTTGATTTTTGTTAGTGGGAGCATTTCAATAATTTTGTGATAAAGAGAAAACATACTTTGCAAATATCCAATATTGTTTAAATATATTCTTATCGCAATTCAGAAAAGTAGAAATTATGGTTATTTGGCTTGTACACATTCTTCCACAGAATTCCTCATTTATCAGTTTTAAATCTTCAAACTGAATACTAGCTGATTATCTAAATATCTCCATACAGATAAAGGCAAAAGAGTACTTGCAGTCACCCATGTTCATAAACTGAATACTATCATATAATCGTATGTTAATGAGCAATGTTGAAATGTATTCTAAGAATTCATGTGTAATCACTGTTAGATATCTGGATTAAAATGCATCAGTGCTTCCTTAGGCTCTTATAATCTCATTTCTCTACCTGAACTTATGCTCTAGACACATTTAGATCTTGTTTTCTGAAGCTATTCTATTGTCGTGTGCATGTATTTTTTTGACAGTGACCATATTACACAACTAGATTAGGCAAAGACGTTTTTTAGGTATACGTTACCTACATCTTTTTTTTTATTTCAAGAGGGAAACATTATGAAAAATTATAGTTAAATAAACTGTCATACAGATTCATATAGTAACACGTAAGTGACTTAATTGATAAAACATTTATGACATCAACCTGATCAGAGATACTCCGGAAAATTACTCAAGTCTGGCCTTGTACCTGCTCGATGCATTAACCAGTGTCTTCAGACTATTTGGGTTTCGTATCAGCTTGTCCAGCATGTTGACTATTTCATCGAACTTGGGCCTGCTATTCCTATCTTTTTGCCAGCAATCCAGCATTAACTGATAGAGAGCCGCAGGACAGTCCATGGGGCTTGGCAAGCGGTAGCCTTCTTCCACAGCTTTGATCACCTGCACAAAACAAAGCAGAACCAATCCACAACCCCACCAATGTAGCAGAGAAGAGTGCTAACTTCCATCTGTACTTTTAAATTTGTGGTAGTCACCACCATCACTATTTTTATAAACCACTGCAAAACAAACAATTAGGACAGAATGTACTATTACAACATTAAATTTTAAAACTATGCCTTTTTCACATGTTAAAAAACTAAATGATGAGCCTTTAGTGGTGATACATGCCTTTAATCCCAACACTTGGGAGGCAAAAGCAGGTGGATCTCCGTGAGTCTGAGGTCAGCCTGGTCTACAGAGTGAGTTCCAGGACAGCCAAGACTATGTAAAAAGACCTTGTCTCAAGCAACAACAAAAACCAAAACAAAACCTAGATGGTGATGATGTTTAGCTGTAACCTTGGTGAAGGATGTTTTATAAAACTAATTGTCCAAAAATTGAACATGTTTTATTTACTCTTGCACTCTAGAATCAAATGATGATCACATTTTCTCTGAAATATCTTTTTTTCATGAAAGTTTATACAATCACATTATCAAAGTACTAGTATGGAAATTTCATTTCAAAAGAGACTTTTGGATGGTAAATGATGGATAAGTCAAAGGATAAATTAGCATAACTGTCTCATGTATCATTTAGTAATGTCAAGGTCTGACTGTTTATTATTATCTTTGGATTTCTGTCAGGAATTTGAAATGACTATCTACTGGCACAGGCATTATAAATATTTATTTTAAACACATGTATAAGCATCAGTCCATTTCTGGGGATTAAAAAACATAATATTGTTGCTGACATCAAAATATCTAAAAAGAGGAAATGTTTGTTTGTATTATTAAATACTATAGTGGCCTTTTAATTCATTTATGAAAATATCCTACATTATTAAGGAATATATTTCTCAAAAACACTATAAATTTAATTGTATCATACCCCAAATAATTTAGGTTTTGTTTAACAAACTGTAGAATAAAATCAGCAAAGGAACTTTTTAAAAACAATCTTCAGGGACTGAGGGTAAGGCAACCCCTTCACAACAAAGGGGATGACATGTGATCCAATGTGGTGCAGGTAGGAAGAAGAAACTATACATTTACAAAGTGTTTATGACTAAGAAGTGTAGGGAAAAGGATATCAGAGATCAAACTATTTCAGGTCCATTATGTTGAAAATTAATTTCTGTTTTCTTAAAGTAAACAAATCTATGAAGGAAGTAAATATTATTAGATTTAACCTGGGATTTCTTTTTATGTGTGGTGAGTGGGGATAGACAGACAACAATATGTACGAATCCAGCTGGAACAGAGGAAACTGGGGATACAAAGGACAGGATCATGAGCACTTGATCTCAACTTGAGGTTATTCTAGTTTCTATCTACCAAAGAAAATAATAAAAAGTATTCTAAGAAGCACAAAGTGAGGCTAGAATAATATAAGTGCTCAAGGATTGTGAAAGTGTCTGAAAATAATTGTAATATTTCAGAGAAGTAACCTAAGCAACCTTCTACCTTAGTTAGCCCGTTTAACTTCAAAATAACACAGAAATCAAAGGGCAAACTATGCAAGAAATTATTTTCAACAAATGTAATAAAGCTGATGCCACTATAAGCAAAAGCATCCTGGAAAATAAAAAACAATAGATTAAAAAAATAACTCCCGATTAACGTTTAGAAAAGAAAATGAGCCAGGCGGTGGAGGCACACACCTTTAATCCCAGCACTTGGGAGGCAGAGCCAGGTGGATCTTTGTGAGTTCGAGGCCAGCCTGGTCTACTGAGCAAGATCCAGGAAAGGCGCAAAGCTACACAGAGAAACCCTGTCTTGAAAAACAAAACAAAACAAACACCAACAACAAAAAAAAAAAGAAAGAAAGAAAGAAAGAAAGAAAGAAAGAAAGAAAGAAAGAAAAGAAAATGAGAAAAAAAAGGCAAATGTGACAAAAGATATATTCACAGTACCATTTGTCCTTATATCTGAATGGGACTTTATTTATTTACTTGCTTGTTTTTCCTTTCATTTTTCATAAGACACTACTACTGTCTTTAGTACCCTAAATGGCCAACGTAGAAGTCTAAGGAAACAGCTTAAATCATTTAAACTTTATAAATTCAGTACATTTCTACTCAAAACTTAATCTAATTTGTAGCATGCTGTTCTTTCAAAATTTTCAATTAATTCTAGTTACTTTAGTGTATAGGTATAGCAGTGATGATAACTAAGTCACAGATTTAAGAATTTAAGTGGGGACATAGGAGGAGTTGGAGGGCAAAAAGGGAGGGTGTAAATGATATAAATATAGTACTCATGTGTAAAATTGTAAAAAAAAAAGTATGCAAAACTTAAATTAAAATATTTTTCTACTCAGTGTCTATTTATATGTAATTGTGAACTGGATAATTTAAATTAATTCCTTGGTTTTAATGTTAAGTACAATGGTTTTGTCTATGTACTTTGTATCCTAGAGGTTCATGGGGTGGAAACTACCTTCACTGTCATAGTTTGCTAGATGAATCTATAGGAGACGAAATCTCGTGGAAGATAATTATGTCAGAATGCTTCATCTGTGGTAGACTATTGCACTTATAATTGGTCTGAGTTATTCTCCAGGTTTCCCGGTTTCTCTCCTAAGCTTTGAGGCATCCAGGTGGTTGTATATCAGATGACCTGGCAGCATGTTGTATGGACTTTTCAGCCTCTAGAATCTTGAAATAAACACATTTTCTTTACTTGCTGTGGCGGTTTGAATGATAATGGCCTCATAGGCTTATAGGATTGGAGTGGGGGTGGGGCTTGTTAGAGGAGGCGTGACACTGGCAGCATCCCTTTAAGGCTTCAAAAGTCTCAGTCCCTTACCAATGTGACATCTGCTTCCTGCTTGTGGATCAAGATGTGAGCTCTCAGCCTTGAGTCTAGCCACCTGCCACCATGCTTTTGCTCTGCTATCATAAACTCTCACCTTCTGGAACCATAAGCACAATTCAAGTATTTCTTTTAACAGAAATACCTTAGTCCTGATCCTACTGCCAGGGGGCCTCATGCAGAGAGCCTCCTCATGTGGAGCCTACTCCAGTCCCATGGAGGCTCCACAGCTATTGGTCTAAAGTTCATGAATTCCCATTAGCTCAGCACGAGCTGGCTTTTTGAAGCCCACTACCTTTGGTGGGACACCTTGCACAGCCTTGATGCAGGGGGAGGGATTTGGACCTGCCTCAAATGAATGTACCAAGCTCTGCTGACTCCACATTGGAGACCTTACTTTGAAAGGAGGGAATGGGGAATGCATGGAGGTAGGGGGTGGCTAGGGGAGGGAAGAGAGCAGGATCTGTGGTTGATATGCAAAATGAATAAAAAAAACTCTTAATGAAAAAATAAAAGAAGTTCCTTGGATGCCTTAGTCATTTGCCTTGGTCATGGGATTTTATCAAAGCAATTGAAAAGTAACTAATAAAGAAGTTTGAACCTGGAAGTGGGCTATTGTGTAACAGGCCTGATCATATTGCTCCTGATGGAATGTAAAGACTGAGTCTTTTGGACTCTAAAAGTGGTTGATTGGTATAAGTGGAGTAAACAGGCCATCTTGATAGGATCTTGAAAGACACTAGTGCTGAGAACTATGTGGACTATGGAGGTCTGACTCTAGCGGTTTCAGTGAAGAACAAAATTAGTGAGTCATCTAGAGATCATTTTCATGATATTTCAGCAAATAATGTGGGTGATTTCTGCCCTCTCTCTAAGAACTTGTCCATGGTCAAGGCTAAATTTTGAAAGTTACGGACTAATTTCTTTGAAGGACACATCATGAGACCCTAACTTGGACTCTGCCATGTGAATATCATGCTAACACAGGATTACAATGAAAGAGAGCAAAGAATGCAAAAAGAAATACAAAATGCACAGTTTGAAGAACAAAAGGGTACCAGGAAGTTTACTGTCAGAGTCACTGCTAATGACAGAAGAGATAAGGAGGTTAAGTGGCCTGATCTAAACTGGAAAAAAAGGAAGGACGCCATCAGACCAAGACTCTACCCAACTTTGCTTCAACCAGTGAAAGCAAAATGGCGTAAGAAATTTTCTGCTCCTAAAAAACTAGTCAGAGTTTCTGTAAATGTGATTCATGAGGGCTGGCATACCCTCCAAATTTGTTGCCAAACTTGGCAGGGTTGTCAACTTAATTCTGTCCTTTGAATCATGAAAGATACAGGAGTAAAGGAACCCTCGTTCTCAGATAACTGCTGTGACCAGGCAATGTGTAGCAGGGGAGTCGCAGCATGAATGTTCTGAGAGGGATAAGGCCCTCCCTGCAGGCCATTGCATAAAGATGCAAAAATGAAGCCTGGATTTTACTGGAGGCCCCAAGATGTGGGGCATGCCAGAGCCACTAGGCATCTGACAATGAAATCCTACACAGAGAGTAGACTCAGGTAGAGAGATGCATTTCGAAGGCAGTAAAGCTTCAGAGGTAGAGCCATCTTAATGATTTAACATTGGATATGGAAATATAGGATTTGGAGTTTGTCCTGCTATATCTTAGTCTTGCTTTGGTGGACTACTTCCTCTCTATGGCCTCACTCTTCCCTTTTGGGATGGTAATGTCTGTTTTATGCTGGTATTTATTGGAAGCATGCAATTTGCCTTTTGATTTTAAAGGAGGCAGTGTCACTGGGGATTTAGGGAAGGCTTTGAAGCTTCAAAAGACCCCTTCCATTCCCAGTGTGTATTTTTGATTTCTGTTTGTGGTTTAAGACATGAGCTGTCAGCAGCTGCTCCAGCCAATGTGTTTACTGATTGCTGCCCAGCAAGGATGAACCCTTAACCCTATGAAATTAGAAGCCCAATTAAATGTTTTCATTTATAAGTTTCCCTGGTCTTAGTGTTTTATAACAGTAACAGAAAAATAACCAAAGTATATGTATGTTAACTTACATTAAATATTCTGCTATGATAAAACATAATGCACTAAGACAGCATGCTATTTATTGTTACTTATGATATCTATTATATCACATACATGCACATATATATACACAAAATACTCATATCAAAAATTGAAAGAAGTATAGAATTGTAATAGATGTGCACCCAATACAAAATAAGCTGATGTACTTTAAAGTCCAATATTCATGTGGCCTCTAAAGGAAGTTGTAACATGTCAAAAGTAGTAATAAGTCTTTTGGATTGTCACTTGAAGAATTAAATATAAATTGCATAGAAAATGAACTGCCTAAGAAATGGCAAAATAAACCACACAGAAAAGTGAAAACCAGATTACTATAATGACTGAAGCATTTTTTGAATTTATGTGCTTGGTGGAATATATGTGTTCATATATTCAGTAATACCAGAGAATGACACTATCTCTAAATATAAAGGTATTATGTAATAGAATATTAAATTTGTTTTTTATTTTGTGTTACAAAAAGTGTTGACACTTAAAATCTTTTCTACGAACAAAGTAGCTTCTACTGACTACAGAATGTTCTCAACACTTCAGAGTTCATCATCTCATGTTTCCCTAAAGTCATCTGACTCATTCATGATTATTTTTACTGTTTATTGTGACTCCTTTTTGTCTGTAATGGCAGCAGCAATCCTGAATCAAGAGAAGTTGACTGAATTCTGTCTCTCTGGCATATAGCAAGGTCTCTTCTGTGAGATTTAGAGTATGCTCTATGAATGATAAGGTTAGATCTCATGATACCAAAAAGCCCCTTCTGAGTCAGATCTTATCAGGAATGTGGATATCAAGGGACATAACTTTTAACACCAGGGAATCAGCAGTGTAACTTTGTTCTGTGAGACTGCTTTTTCTGTCAGTGAAAGTCAGTGATTATTGAGTTCAGTTAGTCTGCTTTGTTGTTTATGTCAAATTTAGTTAGAAGTTGAGGCATAACATATTTAGTGTAGTATTCAGAAACAAAATGTCACTGATGACTAAAACCTCAATAAATAACACATCATGCACTCTACGTTGTACTAGAGGGCGTTTTCCAGAAAGATTTGCAGTTAGTTGATCATTTGTTTTAAGCTTCATGTAAATTAACAAATCTTGCCCAAACTATTAGTTTTTCTTCTTATATTATTCTTGAAGCTACAACATTGGCATTTCTTTCCTTTAATATTGTTGAAACATTGTCTAGAAAAGGATGAAACCCCTGAAGTGATTTCAAATGGGAAAATAAAAGGGAATAAAGAATAACGATAAAAATAACACCTACAATAGTTAGTGACAGAAACATTAGATGATGCCACAACACACAAGAAGTTATTAATCATCATCAAAGAGAATTAGGAAACAAAAAGAGTAGAATGATGGAGAATTAGTATACAAGATACAGGTAGATAGAGATCACAACAGGGAGATGAGAATGGTTAGCAGATATTCCTTAAATCCTTTAACTTGCTGTTCCTATGTCTTTTCCCACACAAGTATAGTGTCCACCCACACAAACCACTGTTATGTACTCACTTGTCTAATTGTGCAGTTAGCCAGTGGGACCTTAGCACACAGGTTGCCAGTTAAGGCACAATGAAGCTTGTTTTTACACTATGGTACTTGGCAGTGTCCCAGGTCATGATATCACAGAATGACCAAAAGGATCTTTGAGAGAGAAAGTTCTAGTTCAGCTTAAAGTCTACAGTCCATTATTGAGGGATGTCAGGGTAGGAACTCAAGGCAGGAACCTGGCGGCAGGGACTGAAGTGGCCATGGAAGAAGGCTCCTTACTGGCCTGCACATCATGGCTTTCTCAGTCTGCTTTCTTTGACACTCCAGGACCACCTAGCTCAGGCTGCCATCATCCACAATGTGCTGGGCCCTCCCAGATCAATCACCAATTAAGAAAATGCTCCAGAGTCCTGACTAAAGGCCAATCTTACAGACACATTTTTAAAAGTTGTTCTCTGTCCTCAGATGTCCTTGACCTAGCTTAGGTCAAGTTGACTAAAAGAACTAGTGGATTCAGCAAATAACATCAGATTTTGGCTAGCCTGCTGGACTTAGGTGGAAGATGAGACTTGTGGAGAAAAGTATAGACTTCTTGTCTCTGTACCAAAGACAAGCTTAGACAATGTCCATAGAAGCACACAACAACATTCATCTACCGTCAGTCTTAATGTTTGATCCATGACTTCACTTGGTACAATTTTAACTGTAACTTGTGACGATTTTAACTGTAACTCATATAATTGCCAATACTTGATAGGTATTGATTGAACAATCCCTTGCACAGCTAGGAAAGACTAATGGATCAAAAGTCAAAATATCTCAGTAGTGGGTTGAAACTACCTCTGGAGGCTGGCAAATGAGAAAATCATATTTCTATCGAAAGAAACAGATAAGCGGTATGGATTGCCATTTGAGGGATTTGTGACAAGACAGAAAAAAATGAGCTTTGATATAAATTAAAGCAGAACTGTAGTGTTACAAAGGTGATGTGAGCATATGGTATTTATGTGAAAAAGAAACCATAGGAAACAAGGCATAGTCTAGCCTTGTTCAATCCAGATTAATCACTATCTATTGAATTGAACATTTCATGACTCATTCATTTAGAAGACTGATGTAGTTGGGGCATAAAAAGCAGAAGTACATAATAATTCAATTGCTATAAACCATAGCAATTGCTATAAATCATATATTTTAAAAACTATGAGAAATGTGTTGATATATCTACTATAAATTTTATTATTTTGTGACAATAAGAAAATCACTGAGCTTCTCTAGGCCCTAGTTCTCCACTATAAAAGACAAATAATGACAACATCTCTTTTATGTGTTAATTATACATATATAAATACAATCTTAAAAATACTTATAATATAAATTGCATGTATAGACACATACACATATTTCAGAAATTGAACGACATTTTATGTTGTTGCATCTCTTAATGCTCAAGTTTGAAACCAATAGACCTGCTGCTCTTCCAGTTGTGGAGAAGTCTAAGTCAGTACTAGCTTTCTCACATCAAGTGAGTTGGTGCAAAACAGACCAACTATAGTCGTTGTAGGTGACCACAGAGAACTCATGAATGTAATCTGCTGCAATCAGAGAAAAATTCTGAGAAGGAAATTTAGGGAAAGCTGAGATGTTCCTCTAGCTACCCACTTATGGAAAATTGAAGAAAGTAGACTGGTCAACACAGCCTGGGAAAACAATTTCAAAACAGGAGCAATGGAGTGCCTCTAGCAAGACTGCTTTCCCTTGTAAGGGAAACACACACATGGTGAAGTAAGGGTTCAAGAGGAGAGAAATGGACAGCAAGAAAAAGGAGCTCTAGGAAGTTAGCCAGACTCCATTGTCCTCTATGGCCTTTCCAGAAAACTCCATCAAGTGTCTTTGTAGAATGTAGACACATACCTCAAATAATAGGTATTAATGTGCACTGATGCCCAGGTGCTTCTTTATAACAGGTGTCAATAACTCATCATTAAAGATCAAATTTGTTCCCAGTGTTTTGTTCCTCTACTTAGGCAAACCTGACCAATCCAAGTGCCGGTTTTGGTAGAGGAAAAGGAACAAATATTTGACTACGTCTGCCTATTAATAATTTGCATAACTTGAGTTGCCATGGCTCACAGTTGGGGCATATAATTTGAAATGCACCTGAGATGTAGTTTTGGCTGAACTTTGAAAATCACAGTTAATTGCTTATATGGAATTGTCAATGTAAATACAGTGAGCTGCAAACTCATAGTATCTGCCTATGAGCCTCTGAGAGAATGCATGGGGAAAGGAGGTGCTATAGAGTTAGGATATAAGAAATTATTGGAGAAAGAAAAAGATGCTTCCAGGAAGTATATTGTTGTTAAGAATTTTCAGTACACTAGATTTACAAATAAATAATGAGCTTGGTATTCATTGGTAAAGGGTAAATGGCATACTCTGAGGGTTCATTACATCCTAGCTACTTTTATAATTATCAGAAAAAAATTTCAAATTTTAATATGATCCAGATACAAAGAGGATATATTGAATATTAATAATGGAAAATGATCAAAGCAAAGACCATAGTTCTGTCTTAAGCATCAAAACATAAGCATTTGAACATGGAAAAAAAAATCCTTTAATGAATCACATAATTCTTAACATCAATTATATTTTTACTGTTAGAAGAATATTCACTTTTACGAATTATAAATGTGATATAACTCATCTCATATTTCAAAGAATCAAATTCAGCATGCATGCTGTGGATATCGCTCTGTATAAATAAAATGCTGATTGGCTAGTAGCCAGGCAGGAAGTATAGGCAGAACAAGCAGAGAAGAGAATTCTGGGAAGTGGAAGGCTGAGGCAGAAAGCCACTGCCAGCCACTGCCATGACAAGTGAGATGTTAAGATACCTGTAAGCCACAAGCCATGTGGCAACTTATAGACTAATAGAAATGGGTTGATTTAAGATATAAGAACTAGATAACAAGAAGCCTGCCATGGCCATACAGTTTATAAGTAATATAAGTCTCTGTGTGTACTTGGTTGGGTCTGAGCAGCTGCAGGACTGGCAGGTGAGAGAGATTTGTCCTGACCATGGGCCAGGCAGGACTGGAGAAAACTCCAGCTATAGCACACGTTCTTAGATGGCTGTTCTTCTTCATCATTGAGAACAATACTGACATAAACAGAGTGGAACAACACTATGGAACAGCTAAGTCTACTTGGCAAGGGACTCAAGTTTTTCCTAACTGTAACTTATGTTACTCTACCCTAACTCATTTTTAGCTCTCACTTAAAGATTATTTCCATAGCAACAAATGTACCAAAAGGTAAACAAAGTATTTTATATTTTCCAAGTAACTGTCATTTTCAACAATTTAAAAATACTGTAAGAGTCTGGACTCAGAGAACAAAGCATTTTGTTCTCAACTTGAGGGAGAAAGAGTATCTTTGTACTTACATCCTGATTGGTCATCTCCCAGTAGGGTCTCTCTCCATAAGACACAACTTCCCACATTACAATTCCGTAGCTCCAGACATCACTAGCAGAGGTGAATTTTCGAAAAGCTATTGCTTCTGGGGCAGTCCATCTGATTGGAATTTTGCCTCCCTAAAATTAAAAGCACATGTGCATGTATTTATATATATATATTCTACATATTTATACATATATAATATACACATTATATATGTATATATTCTAGCATACTTCAAGGGCATCTAGGGATACTGCGGCTTCTTTGAGAAGATCTAGAAAGAGATGTAACATTTTTAAGTTAATCTGTTTGACAGCATGCAGTCTCTTTTCACATCTCCCAGCCCATGAGCACTTGTAGACTAACAACTAATTGGCTGTCGGGAAGGTTTCTGCTATAAATTCTGTTTGACTTTTGGAAGGCATACAGGACCTACATCTCAATTATAGTGCTCAGGATGGCAGGGCTGATTAGGGGAGGGAGGCACTCTAGCACATCAATAAGGTGTACACTCAGCATTGTAAAAGAAAAGGACTCAAATACTGTGCGTGATTTTTTTTTAAAGTACAGAATTATAAATGGAATGTCTAGGTTGTTAAACGAAAACCTGGGAAGTTTCACAGTTTATAAGACAAGCAGGAAAATTCTACATGCTAAAAACTAAAGGATATCTTTCCCTCAACATTGTTTTATTTCTGGAAGGCTTGATTTTCCCCCTCTTAGCTTAATGGCATACTTTTGTGTTTGTTCATTTAGAATATTGAACCTAAGAAATGCTATTGTTTAGCTGAACTAATCAAAAGATTGTGGGGTACTCAAAAGAAATAACATTTTACAGTTATTTTCCTATGTACTCACTAATACATATTGAGAGACAGATTTTCTTATTAAAAAGGCTACTTCACACCTACCTATTTTATAGAAAAGAATATTTAAAAATTAGAATATGAAATAAAAGACAAATTTCCATTAAAAAGGAAACCTTCAAGATACACAAGAAAATAAGTTTCATGTCAGGATTGAAATTTGGGAAAGGATAAAACTTAGGCTTAATCCTTTTATACACATACAAACACATACACACATATGGTAATATATTTGGAATATTTTTGGAAATTGTTTTGCCTAATGAATACATAAAAAACATTGCATCATAAAGAATTGTAATATGCTTGTCTTAATGTTCTTCATTTTCATTTGTATTTAGATTTATTTTAAATTATGTGTATGTGTGTGGAGGGTACACATGAGTGCATGTGTTTGCAGAGGCTTCCAGATCTTCTAGAGCTAGAGTTATAGGTTGTTTAAGCTACCTGATATGCTGTTAGGAACCTAACTCAAGTTCTTTAAGAGAGAAGTATGTGCTCTTAGCAGAGCCATCTCTTGAGGGCCTTGGCTAAATTTTTTACTGCTTTATTTCTTGAAACAGAATCTTGCTTTGTAGCTTAGGCTGGCCTTGAACTCATGGCTCCCAGCAATCCAATGGTCTCAGTATCCTGAGTGTTGGGATTAGAGGAGAACTGTTTTGTTCTTCAACATGTGACTAAATTGCCTTTTCCAAATTGTAGTTTATTGATTCGGCTGAGCTTCATCTCTGAATTGTTCTCCTGTTCACTGGAACAATGCGTGTATCACTAACTACTGAAGCTCATTTACCTGATTAGTTCTTATTACATATATTTTCTACAAACTGCTTCCATACACCATTTATAGATGGAAGCCTTCAAAGTGTCAGGATCACGGGCCCTTCTGCTGGTGCTGCAGCATAACACAGTGGCAAGGGCCTTGGAAAATCTACTTCTTATTTACCTAAGACACCCACCCATCACAGCAGCAATAGACTTTCCATAACCTCAATCTTGTTTAGGCCGACTTTATTAAGTGCAATTTTAAACCCAGAAGAATTCTTAATTGAGGTTTTATTTAATGAAATAATGGCAGTAGTAGTTATATGTGGGAGAGTAGAACTATCTCATCAATTAATTCATTGATTTAATGAGATGACCTCTGGAAGTCTTTGTTTGCTTAAATAAATTACTCTTGCTCTGCAGCATACTACAAATGCCCCCAAATCCATGTGCCACAAGTCACAGTTGTCCAAATAGAACAAACTGACCTTATAATATAATAAAGAACTTTTCACTATACTACCAGTTTGACAGTAGAATTTAATAAGGAGACATGTAATGCATAGATTGCAATTTAAAAATTAGAGGTGACAAAAGTGTTATTCTGTATTGGAACAAAATTAGTTCATTTGTCCAGTGAAGGAATATACAACAAATCCCCATATCAACAATAATTTTGAAGTTGAGGATATACAAGATGATAATATTGAAAATATTTAGAATATCCCAAACACTTATTAAAAGATGTTTATAATACAATTAAAATTTTCAATTTTAATTCAAATTAAATTAAATTAAAAATTGAAAAATGTAAAGCAAATAGGCTGCTTGCAAATTCTTTTCATAACAATAGTTACCATTTCCCTTAGCTAATTTTATACTACATTATTTCAGGAAAAAAATTAGTTTGCTGTAAGCTGTATGTTTATGATAGCTATTACACTGTGAGTAATAACCAGTTTTCCATAGACTTAGGTTTAATAGCTCTTATACTTTGTAAATCAAGCAGTGAGACACTTCAATACCTCCAGAAAATCAAAACTTTAAAAAAATGGAACTGTCTTTCCCACAACTTAAACTCTTGAGATGAAGAATAAAATGCTTTATAATTTCTTTCACAATTGAAGACACTATAGTATAGATAAGTTAAATTTCCCACTAATACTATCTATACACATTTATATGTGCATACAACAGCACTCATTCTTCATATACACACCATATAAACATACATATTTTAATGGCATCTGTCCTAGTTAGGGCTACTATTGCCAGGATAAAACACCATGACCAAAGCAACTTGGAGAGGAAAGGGTCTATTTGGTTTATGCCTCCACATCACTGGTCACTGGTGAAGGAAATCAGGACAGGAACTCAAACAGGGCAGGAACCTGGGGGCAGGAGTTGATGCACAGGCCATGGAGGGGTGCTACATACTGACTTGTTCCTCATGTGTTACTCAGCCTGCTTTCTATAGAATCCAGGATTACCAGCCCAGGGATGGCCTTATCCACAATGGTCTGCCCCTCCCAAGAATCACTAATTTTAAAAATGCCCTATAGCCTTGCCTAAAATCCAATCTTATGGAGGCACTTTCTCAGTTGAGGCTCCTGTCACTCCGGTGACTCCAGCTTGTGATAATTTGACATAAATCTAGCCAGCACAGTATCCTTAAAAATAAATAAATTACTGGGACTAGGGAGGTAAATATTTTCAATATCTAAGTTTAATATTTGAATCTGCTGGTACTAAAAGGTGTAGAATTGGATTTTCTATTTTCTCCCTTTTTCTTTCATGTTTTCTCTGTCTCCTCTTGGATTTGTTGGAGGAATGCCCTTTTTGCTACTTCTTTTAACATCTTTAAAAATTCAGCACCTCTCGTCTAGTGTGTGAGAAATGCATTCTGTTAGATCTTACCCTTGTGGTGTAGGCTGCCTCAGGATCATCTTCCAGTACCCTAGAAAGCCCAAAGTCAGACACTTTGCACACAAGGTTACTGTTGATTAAGATGTTTCTAGCAGCAAGGTCTCTATGCACGTAGCCCATGTCAGAAAGGTACTTCATTCCTGCAGCGATGCCTCTCAGCATGCCAACAAGCTGAATCACAGTGAACTGCCCATCGTTTTTCTGAAAAGACAGTGCAATATTAGACGAGCTGTACGATTCACAGGAGGAAAATTTGGGAAAAGCCTTCTTTCATTTTTCAAATTACTGTTAGCACCTTTCAAAATGCAAATGCAGTATCTACTCACGGAGGATGGAAAGCGTTAGAAACCACAAACTTAACTGATTATGCAGATCGTGTCAAATCAGGCAAAGACTTTGAAAGACCTTCAAAATCTCATGCAGCACACATACACACACAGACATGCACACATACAAAGAGAGGCCTTTCAGAATGAGGGTTTCAGTAGAAGAAGAAAGAGGGAGGAGATAGCTTAATAGGATGTGCAAATTATTAAAATTCATTATATACATATTTGAAACCATCAAAGAATAAAAAGAAATAAATAATGTTTCAAGTACCTTCTGAACATAGCTGTTGACCAAAATGTATAGAACTTACACAATTATGCTAAAACATGTCGGGGGATATAATTTCCCAACGTGTTTCTATATAGTTGTATAAGGTAAGTTTTAACATGTCCCAACATGTGTTTAACATGGTTGTATAGAAATATATGTTCAAGGCACTAGTATATTTCCTATAAGGAGTTGTATGTAATGGAAAAATAACTTCAAGAAGAAGTGGAAGTAGCCTTAAGCTAACAAAACATGTTCTTAACGGTGCCCCTTCTTCCTCACTAATACTCAAGAAGAGGCTGACTATGGGTTGTTCATGAAACAATTTATTAGTCATGCTACCTTTTCATAAGAATTTGATATGCAATCCTTAATTATTAATCAACATAAACCAGAAATGGTTGTTATAACTGACATAAAGAAGACACACAAAAAACAATACATCATTGCATCTTCTATTCAAGAGGCAACATTTTGGGTCTTGGCTTAATAACATCTCTCTTGATTAGTGTCTCTCTCACATCAATAATTACTTGAAAACCTAAATTGTGAGAGTTTTTGTTCAACTGAAATTACCTTAATTAATTAATATTATTTTAATATATTACTTACTTCTCTGTGTAGACTATGCTGACCTTGAGCCCAAAGAGATCTTTCTGCCTTTACCTCCCAAGTGATGCCATTAATGGTTTGTCCCAACACACTCAGTTGTGCTCAGTTTACATTTTGTATTCTTATAGTGTTAGAGATTGAGTGCCATTAATGACTTCAAATAAATTTTTTTCTATTAATAAAAGTAATAAGTCCATATTTAAATTTTATAAAATAGTGTGTAAAGAAGACATGGGTCATTCATAGTTGCACACGTAATAACATGTGTTATTCCCTAATAATATCAGTTTTAATTACTTCTTTTATTTTTATATAGGTTGTTCTTTTATTACTCATGTGTCAACATATTTTCTTTATCTGCATTATTTGCTTAATAGTTCTAAACACATGGTATGCATAACTTTGCATGCTATATTGTATTTCACTTTTAATACTGCTGTATTAAAAGCAGTGAATGTTATTTAAATAATCTCATGTTGCTGCCTTTTCATGCATTATAGCTTCTTTATTTATTGTCAAACACCAGAGGAATTTGCTCATTGCTCCAACCTAGTGCCAACCTTGGCTAACACTGAGTATACCTTTGAGGTAATTTACAAAAAGCTATCTAGATAGACTTATTGGGGGTAAACATGAAATGGCCCGGAGGAAATACAGGAGTTTCTGCAGGGTAGATGAAAGCAGGGATAATTACTGAGCACTGAGTGGGGAAATATCAACAGTTCGTGGAAGTCTGTTGTTTTTGTCAAAGACATTAAATGCAATAAAGTTAAATGAACTCATAAAGCTTAACTAATAGCTTGAATTACTTTGAATAAAGTGTTGATACAACTCTAAGAGACTGGAAAACCTGCAAGTGCAGAGAAGTAAACTGGCAATAGGCGGGCAGGTTGCTGCAGGTTGGAAATTAAAATAGAAAATTTACATAGTAATGGAACACTACTGTGGTCCCTGCACAGGCCCCTTTCAAAGTCATCATCACTTTCATCACAGTACCTTTCCTCATCAGAAGCAACACTCACTACATTGAATTTACAACTTCCAGACTCTAGATTACTCATATATGAAAATGTTACGTCATTTGACACAAGCTCTTTAGGAATTGTCAATGTTTAAACCTGGGAGGTCAGCATAGAACTCTTTTATTCCTGAACCCCAGAACACCTGATGATATTGGCTATGTTCTCAGGTTGATTTTCTGTTGACACTCCCTTAGGGGGGGCATAATGCTTATAGACTCCAGTTTGATATCTTCACTTATTATCTGCATAGACAATTGAGACACATTTTTCTCTGTCCATTAATATGTACATAAAAATTGAGTATATCTATATCACCCCCTCCAGGACAAGGTGTGAAATGAAAGACAGGGCAAAACGAATGTAAGAGTTGAAGGGTTAGAGGCAGTGCCATCAAGTGCTGTCTTGGACGTGGTATGGGCACAGCACTCACTGTAGCTGTGGCCATCTTCACAGAACCTGCACAACATGGCATCACTCAATATTCTATGAAGGATGGGGGAGAGTCTCAACAAACCCTCTTCCCTTCCTGAGGCCATTACTGATTGTTGGAAAAGGGAGCACTGCTCTCTTCAGAGCAGAAGCCCCTGGCAGGTTATTTGCCTCCTCTGATTATTCAAGCTACACTAATTGAACCCAGTGGTCACACACACACACACACACACACACACACACACACACACACACACACGCACACACACTCATGAGACAGAAAATTAGGAGCAGAACTTGCCAGTAAGAAGAAAATGTCCAGCAGGAGTGAATGGAGGTTAAGAGAAGGTAATGGGGGCAAATATGATAAAAAAAAAATCTTGTACATGTGTGAAACTGTCAGGATAAATAAAATATTTCATAATTTTGAGTATTTGCATAGTTTTTCCTTCATTTTCTTTCTTCCTTATCTCCCTTCATTTCTTTTTTTTTCTTTATTCATCTCTATTTTCATTTTATGTAAAGCATTTACTTAAATAAAATAACAGGGCCTTTTAGTTGGACATATAAATTTTCTGAAAAAAAAACATAGCTTCCAAATGTCAGATTATTGGGGAGTATAAAATGGTGCTGTCTAATTTATTTTGAATGCATTTAAAACTTTACCATTAAGGTTGCTCAATTTTAATCTCAATTCACAGGCACAGTAGGTGTGACAATAGATAGCTAAAGTAAAGGCAAATCTTACCTTTAAAAATGTGTCCAAGGAGCCATTCTCCATATACTCTGTCACTATCATCACAGGTTTACCTGGAAAGAACCAGAGGGGTATAAAGTGTGATCAGAGAGCGCTACATTCTTGTTAATTACTTTATTAATTTGTTTGTTTTCATAAACTATGTCTTGATCAGTTTGTCCCACACCTTCAACACTCCCAGATATTCCTACTTCCCGCCACACACAGCTTTGTGTTCTTTCTCTCTCTTCAAACAACAACAACAACAATAACCCACAAAATCATTATCTAGGAGATATAAACCAGACATTTTAATAGTCTCAATATGGGTGTGTGTAAGGTTGTGATAGTGTGAGTGTGCACATATCTATTCATTTCATCAGTAAATAAATTATTTTATTTATTAATATAAAAACATTGGATTGCATATATATGCATATATATACACACACATATACGTGTGTGTGTGTGTGTGTGTGTGTGTGTGTACAAATGTGTGGAAGAGAACATTATTCATGTGTGTAGTCTAGAAGTAAGAAGAATATCCATGTAACATGTCAACAATTCTATCTCTTTCTCACCTGAGGAAGGGTTGTCTAAGTATTGTTACTGTTGCTGTGATAAACAATTTTAGAGAGAAAACTAACTTTGGTGAGAAAGAGTTTATTTGGTTTTATACATTCTGATCATAGTTCAACATGCAGAGACTCTATGACAAGAACTCAGTCAGGATCAGAGGCAGGAACTGTAGAAGAAAGGTCCTTACTGGCTTGCTCCCAGGCTCACATTCAGCTACCTTTCTTTTATTCTTATTTATTTATTTTTTATTAAGAAATTTTTTTTAATCATTCCACATACCAACCACAGATCCCCCCATTCCTCCTCCTGTACCTCCAGCCTTCCCCCGCAACCCACCCCCCATTCCCACCTCCTCCAAAAAGATAAGGCCTCCCACTGGGAGTCAGAAGAGCCTGGCATATTCAGGTGAGGCAGGTCCAAGCCCCTCCCCCTGGATCAAGCCTGTGCTAGGTGTCCCACCCTAGGCAATGGGCTCAGCTACCTTTCTTATGTCTCCTAGGACCATGGCCAAGGAGTGACACCATTCACAGTATTCTCTCTTATGTCAAACAACGAGAAAAAGACATACAGACATGACTATATTCCAAATTTGCTTGAAGCCTTTCCTCAGTTGGAATTTCTTCCTCTACGGTGACTCATCTTTGTGTTAGGTTGAGAAAAACTAACCAGTGTAAGAGTCTTGAGCTGAACCAGAAGCTTGATGTACATGGTCAAGATCGAATGATCAGGAGGCTCCTAGGATCTGCCTGTCCTGCCCTCCAACACTGCAAGCCATTGCAGTCATACCCCACGTTTCACATGGATGCTAGGGACCTGAACTCAGGTATGTATTCTTATACATCATGTACTCATATTCACTGAGCCATGTCCTCAGCCCCAAGACATAATTTATTGAGGTGACGATGGTTTAGTCTATGATACTATTGAGTTAATGTTGAAACAGTGCAACTGATAGAATTACATTTAAGACAAGCACATACATTTGCCAAAATCAAAACTTACTCATGTGGAATAACAGTTGAAGTGTTAATTCTACTTCAGTATATATATATAGCAATAACATCCATCAAACCAAGTAGAACAACATACTTGTCTATCTGGCAGTTCTGAAAATGTTGATCTTGTCTAATTGCCCTATTTATGATAGCTTCTATACATACACCTTTCTCTGACTTTTAATTATTTTCCAAAGACTTGTGTGTCTCTATCATACGTGTCACGTTTATCAATCTACTTTCCTCAATAGCCTCTTCCTATTTTCTCAAGTATGTGGAGGTTATATTGGAAATCAACACTTCTGGTGAAAGGGATTCACCTCCTTTCATGCCTGGTTTACAAAAGTGAATGGAGATTTCTCCACACTGACTCTGAAGACAAGCTGTTAGGCTGATAGTTTTTGTTAACCTTAGAATGTTTAAATTCAGGTCTCAACTAGACTAGATTAAGGAAATTTTAAAAATCTTGAAAAGTATTTGCGGTTTGTCATTCAGAGTATTTCAGAAGTGCGCATCGGGAGTACTCTTAGTGTGTACTGTTACCAACAGAACAGACACATAATGAGAAATGTCCTTTTCTATAAGGATTTAGACTGGCATTCATGCTGCTTTGGGAATGAGAATTCTAGACCTGATACTACCTGATACCTTCTCCAGTTAAAGCTCAGGTACCTGGGGCAAATACTAGCTTCTTTTCTGATTCAGAGACCTTATTTAAAGGGCAATATGCTACCACTATCTAGGGCTTTCAGCTTCTGGATTATGGGACTACTCAGGAGCCATAAGTAATGGGAATCAATTTTGTGTAAACACACTACAAGTTTTATTTGACAATTGGAGATTTTGACTAATATTACTATGGTATGTTCTTGTACAAGTCTATTATCTACACTTGATTTTAACCTTTACACTGAGTTTAATCATGGCATCTATCTCACAGAACTGTGAGTTTCTACCAAGTCTACAGAATCTAAGAAGTTTGTTTAGTAATTACCACTTAGAATTTTGCTACACAAGTTGGTTAGTATTGTTTTATATATTTGATAAAGTCTTTATCTCTGAATTAGTGTTCTTGCTAGAAACAAGGGACCTCAGATAATAAATCCTATTGTATCCCAACAAAATTTTGGCATTTCTCACATAATATGCCTACACAACAATGAGAGTAAAAATAATGAAAATCCTTTTTGTATGATGAGAATATAACTAAAACATTGCTATCACTTTTAAAATTCCATAATAATCTCATTTTTAAAAAATATATGTCATTTTATTCTACACTAAAATATGTTGGGTAAAATTAGGCATTGATTTAAACTATTTGAGTTAAGATAAAGACATCTGACAACAAAATTACTTTTATATCAATTATTTATATTTCATATTTCATACATTTTATATTATTCACAGAAGTGAGCTTTAAACAACTATGAACAACATTGTCATTAACTTAATGACATTTTCAAGATGAGTCTTTTACTTAAGAATTGATGAGTTCAGGACATACAATTAGAGCTTGCATATTTAAACACACCACACTATAAAAAAGTGCAAAGTTAGCTGCAGAAAATCTGACAATCACATATGAAAAAATAATGTAGACAGAAAAGAATTCTTCATTTAAGGTATTTTAAAGCTCACAATTTAGAATCGTAAGATAGGACAGTTCAATTTCTCACTCAGATGATTATGCTCTCATGAAGTACATTAGTGGCAATATTCTTTCAATGGATTGTTACAAAGGCAGGAACATTTTCCTCATCCTCTTTAAAGTTTAACATTTTCATTTCTTAAAAACTTGATTTGACGCCGGGCGTTGGTGGCGCACGCCTTTAATCCCAGCACTCGGGAGGCAGAGCCAGGCGGATCTCTGTGAGTTCGAGGCCAGCCTGGACTACCAAGTGAGTTCCAGGAAAGGCGCAAAGCTACACGGAGAAACCCTGTCTCGAAAAAACAAAAACAAAAACAAAAAAAAAAAAAAAAAAAAAAAAAAACTTGATTTGACATCCTTGCAGAAGGTATAATGAGAGATGACTAACATCCAAGAGTGGGTACATGACATGCCCAGGAAACTTGTCCAAAAGAATTCCTCAGGTTCAGACATGAACAAAGCTTTGTTTTCTATGTTTAAATCATGAAAGAAAGAAAGAAAGAAAGAAAGAAAGAAAGAAAGAAAGAAAGAAAGAAAGAAAGAAAGAAGAAAGAAGAAAGAAGGAAGGAAGGAAGGAAAGAAAGAAAGAAAGAAAGAAGAAAGAAAGAAGGAAGGAAGGAAGGAAAGAAAAAAGAAAGAAAGAAAGAAAGAAAGAAAGAAAGAAAGAAAGAAAGAAAGAAAAGAAAGAAAGAAAGAAAGAACGGACTATTGTTTTACAATTAGATTTCCAAGTCATAATATTCAATACTCATGAAATAATCAACCGATGCTGGCCATGATGCGAGGAAAGAGAAATCTTTTTACGCTGCTGGTTAGGAATAAAACTTACAAAACACTGTGGAAATCAGAATGGTATTTCCTCAAGAAACTAATAATTGAACAATGACATGACCCAGTTCTACCACCTGATTTAAAGGACCCCAAGTCATACTAAAGAAAAACTTTCACATATGTTATTGCCCTACCATTCATAATGACTAGGAAAGAGAGCCAGTCTAGATGTCTTTCAAGAGATTGGTGCACAAAAAATATATGGTATCCACAATGAAATTTCCTTCAGATATAGACAAATGTCATGAAATTGTGACATTTGCAAGAAAAATGGGTAGAACTAGAAATCATCATTTAATGAAACACCATAAGCCAGACTCACAAATAGTAATGTGTATGATTTCTCTCATACATAGACCTTAGACTTAAAATTGTGGTGTGTGTGTGTGTGTGTGTGTGTGTGTGTGTGTGTGTGTGTGTGGTCACAAGTCAAGAAGGAGAAGAATAGAAAGGGGCCTGTGAGAGCGGAAGAAGTGATGGATCATAGTTGAGGTGAAAGAAAGGAGAAAGGAAGAGGAAAAGGAGAATACCTGCAACATGAGAAGAGAAGAGAGGCTCCCGGAGGAAAGAGAAAGTCAGCAAGAGGGGTCAGTGGGTGAGAGAGCTGGGTCAAAAAATAAAAAAAATAAAATAAAAAAAATAAAAACCCTAGATTTTCAGTGGTAATGTCAGCATAACATGGAGAAAATTTCATAAATATTTGTAGTTTGTGTTCATAAATAGAGAATTGCTTCTAATTTGAAATTTAATTAATGATAGTCATGGTCCTTTTTAATGGAAATCAAGCAAACACCAAGGTGGGAAAACTTCTGTTTGGGGCACTTTTGTCTTAGTCTGATACCACAGGGTCCAATTTCAATTTTTATTTTTATAAATCCCTTTTCTTTCAAGAATCCAAAATTCCCCTTCTCCTGTGTGCCTGACTGAGAAATTGTCAAGTTACTAATATCAACGCTGTTTTCAGAATTTATACCAGTGAAGTATCTTGCTCTATAAGATGTATCCCTTATATTTCTCT